GGGGGGGGGGAGGGGAAATAGTGATTGAAAGATACCCTCATCAAATAAACAGTTTTTAATAAAATATGATTTGGACAGTATCTGTGTCTTTTACGAAAGAAGACCTAATTTTTAGAATTACAAAAATTCTGTAATGATAATGCAATTTACTTGAACTTTAAATGTTCGTCACTGAGATCTTAATAATTCCTTTTTCGCAGCTGTTTCTGATCTTTATTGGTCTAACATTTCAGTTTTTTTCTCAACACTATGGTGATTTTTTGATTAAACTATTTAAGACTTTCCATGATTTGCTTGAATATCACAAATGGCGTTAGTAATGGTTTTCAAGTACATCTTTCTTCGCGAAAAAGGTTTCCAGGTTTCTAGAGAATTGCGTGTAAGTACAGGTCGTATTACTAATTTGCATACTTTCGTGATTGCTCCCTAAATTAAACCTGCTCGTTCATCTGACAGGTTACTTTTGCCTCTCACATGTGGCCTGGCTGGCTTTCTCCAAAATGATCAAGTGGAAGACTTGGATGGTTTGGTTATCGCTAATATTAAGCATTTCAACCGCTGAATTATTTACATCTTTAAGTCGGATAAAAGGCTTGGTTCGCTTGGAAAGCGCTCTTTCGAACTCTCTCGACAATTATTTGGAACAGATGTCGGAACCCCCGGAAGTTCTTCAACAATTTTCCGATCAAGTCAGGAAAGAAAGGGACATCGCGGCGGGCGATATCGAAAAATATGCCTTTCATCCGATCAATTCCTTTCTGCTTGTGAGGCGATTCGTGCGACATTGGACAGAATTGGCCACCTTCCTCTCTAAAGGATCACCGAACGGTAAGGGTCATGGGGAATAAACGCTTCTCTTTATTGTCACGAAGTCATCCTGTGTGTTTTCATACTGACGTTCTATGTATAAATACTGTCAAGAGATGACAAGATTCAAAAGCAAGATCTGCATGAGGGGATCTCTGACATTACATTGTTTTAACTTTTGTTATGAAGACGTTAACGAACTTGTGCGTGCGCGACTCGCGTGCGCGTGCTTTGGGTTTTTTTGGTTAAAAATATCGTCAGCAAATCACGTGGACCTTTTTGTTTTTGACGTGTGCGATTTTATTTTAGAAGAGTGGAAAGTTTTTTTAGTTTATCGAGTGGCGGTTTGTTTAACAGTCGTTGTCGTTTACCGCGAGTTCACAGTTTTCCGTGGTGGAATAAGCGTGTGTGTTTGTTTTGATTTCCGTTTCGCTTCCGAACACCTTCATTGGTTAGAAAAATATAAACAAATTAAAAGAAGCCCACAAGATAAAAGATGAAAGGGACCGGGCTAAAGGTTATGTCAAGAGCTCCCTAAGTGAGCACAATATCTTGTTTGTGTGTTCACGTAGAAAAAAATCCTACTGTTTCCCGCGGGGCCAGTGATTACGTATTTTGCTATACTTCCCTAGTAAAAACAAAAAAACAAAAACAAAAACAGAACAAATTATATAAAAACTGTTGACGAGTCATAGGACATTAATTTTCTTGACACTGGCTGGTACACAATTTTCCCGAGGTTTCAAGGCACGTGACCTATGTCGCCTGATACGTTCTCCTCCAATCGAAAAACGTAATCGAGTTTGGAGTTTGTCGTCGGTGTGAAGGATAACGCTAAAACAAATGGTTTTTTAGTATGAACTAAAAACATATGGCTCCATGTTTTCCCTTTTTTCTGACAAGTCCTAGATCTCTACTCCGAGCTCATGATCAACCGCCGAGCATTTCCCACACCGAAAGACTTCATGGGAAGCCTCAACGCCATTCTACGCATCCAAGAGATTTACAATCTCAGCGCAAGCGCTCTCGCTGATGGAGATCTGCATCAAGCAATACCAAGCGGGGGCCTAGGTGCTGATGAGTGTTATGAGTTAGGAATCGGCAGCAGTGATCAGAAAAATTACGAAGGGGTTATAGGGTGGATGAAAGAAGCTCTTAAACGTATGAGCCCGCCATATGAGTACAGCGGTGCACTTATAAAAATTGACGTTCTGGAATATTTAGCTTGGGCGGAGTATAAGGTGAGTTGAAGAAAGGTTGTGCCTTAACTCATTGCGCCTGCGTCGCCAACTATAACATTTTCAAGGTGTTCCACTTAACTCTTATGCAACGCCTCTGAAAAGGCTGACTTACCACAAACGGATTTATCTCTTACGTCACAGCGGACTGCTCATAAGCTAACTGTAAAATAGTCAAACGACGAGGTCGTGTAGATTTAATTATTTCATGCGCGCCGAAAGCAATACATGCAGGGTTTGGGAGCGTGAATCTTGGACGAGAGCTTTTGATACAAATATAGACTATGCCTCTTGAAAAACTTTGATGGTACTTTCTTCCTTCAAGACTGCGGTTTTCCCTCCACTCTCCTGGCAAGTTTAAGGCTTTATGACATCTGTAGCACTTGAAAAACATGAGCTGTTTGAATGGACGGCGGTAGATACATTTTTTGTTTTAAGCAGAACGACTTCGCATGAATTTGTGTGATATTCTTAACGACCTATAGAAATTCAATGAAATATAAGCACATGGAAGAGAAGATGAAGTACATGTAGTAGTTATGGTAGCAGATCCAGGGGGGAGGGTTTAGGGAGTCCTTAACCACCCGTCAGACTCTTCAGAGGGTTTTTTCAATACTTATCTGACGCCAAGACTAGGTTGCATGTTATAAAAGAAGACTATACTCAGTGTGAGTGTATATAATATAAAGTTACTTGTCTTCAAATATTTATCAGATTATTTTGGCTCTAGAGTTAAAAAAATGGTGTTCTCTGAATCAAAATTTCGGATCCCATTTTCTCCACCTTCCATCGAAAAACTACTAGATGCACCCTTGACTTAGTAAACGCCATGGCTTGATGGAGCCGATGTCCGATGTCCGATCTCCGATCCCCGATATCTGATGTCCGATGTACAGTGTTGACGCGACTGAGTCTCTTCATTTTGCAGGTTGGACTCCTTGAAGATGCAATCATACACACGAAAGATATTCTTGACGAAGGTAACTTTGATCCGATCGTTCTGATGCCCTAAAACAGGGTCACAAAATGAAGATCATGTTACGAATTCTTTCTTCCCCAGATCCCACAAGTAAACAAGCGCATGTTAACCTTGGACATTTCGAGGCAGAGATGATACGACGCAGTACGAACGTAAATCATTCAGCAAGAAACAAGGTAGACAACAAGACAAATAGAAAAGATAACAAGTTCAAATATGAACGCTTGTGTCGCGGAGAAACACGGAAGGTTGGTATCAATTACAATCTTGTTATTTTACTTTTAAATCCCACCAAATTATCCTATGCGACGTTGAATTCTCACTGCTACAGAGGGGTCTGGTGCACCGTTTTACTGTGATTGGTTAAGAAGGCTCGTACCGCCCTACCAACCAATCAGATGCAAACAAAAGCTAAACGAATCGCGACTGGTCACCCACATTTCCCGCGCTTGACTGTTTCCACTTTGAATCACGATTGGCTCCTTGTCATATTTGTTTTGTTCTGATTGGCTATGATGATAACTTTGGCTTTGGACTCACGACATACACTCAAAACGCGTTTTTTTTTTTCTTTATCAAATTGATAGTACTCGCTGCTATCTGAGCCATGCGAACGTGGTCCTAGCTTAATTCTTTTATCCACATGGGCCGACTACATATATCTTTCCTCCACACATGTTTTCTAATCAGTACAATACACGTTTTATTTGTAATTTGCAGTCCCAGAGACAAAGAGACAAACTGAGTTGCTACTACAATAGAAATCGTCCAACACAAGTGCTGAGACCAGTTAAAGTAGAAATGTTAAATTCGGATCCAGATCTCTACCTGTTTCATGACTTCATTTCAGAGAGCGAAATCGAGCTGGTAAAGAGACTTGCCAAGCCTCAGGTAATCTAAAGCTATTTTTTCTTTTAACTATATATTTTTAGCAGAAATTCGTCTATGTAAATCAGTATGACAAAGTAATCTACAATGTAAATCCAAACCTGAAAAAGGTCCTTGGAAAATTTAAAAAGGAATGTAGAAAAATTGAAATAGTACAACGTGGATACAACCGAATTTTTATCAGAGGCATTATTGTACCCTTAACACCAGGATCCCATTGACGGTGGCCTATAGCTATCTGCACTGGTTCCTTGAGTCAGCTCTTTGCCACTAGTTTATTCCACTAATTTATTCCACTAGTTTATTCCACTAATTTATTCCACTAATTTATTCCGCTAATATATTCCGCTAATTGATTCCACTAATTTATTCCACTAATTTATTCCACTAATTTGTTCCACTAATTTATTCCACTAATTTATTCCACTAATTTATTCGTGTTTTTATCGTTGCCATGTTCCCACCAATAACGTAGCTCCATTTTCTGCCTTTAAAAGCACACACAACCCACAATTCTTCTATTCGCTCTGACGAAAGGCTAACGCTCGAAACGTCAGCTTTTGTAATCGTTACGGTGGCCATTTTACCATTTCAACTTTGTTGATATATCCAAATTATTCCTTTGCCGAGTATATTTATTTTAAGAACGGCTTTTTCCCACAAAAAAAATATCATGTTTTTCGTCGAGTCAACCGCAAATCCCCAAAGCTGGCATGCCCAGTGCATGTCAGTGGATGTTGGACGTATAACAATAGGATCTCATAGTTCTGTTTTGATTGGGTCTTAGAACCCGATACTTCCCCTGGAAGCCTATTGATAGATCTACTCGGGAAAGAATTGAATCCAAGCCTTAGTATAGGAGATAGAGGGTTCTATTGATGAGCTACTGTCAACACTCGATAAGAAAGATTTATCTTGTTTCATAACTGCATGTTTTGTCAGCAAGCACTGCGAAATGAGTTTCATCAGTTACGTACCTAAAAGACAAGACAAGGATCTGTGCAACATCATTTTTCTCCTGTTTTAGCTTAAGAGAGCTGTTGTCACCGATACAGATACTGGAAAAGAGTTCAAAGCAGATTATAGGATAAGTCAAAGGTGAGGAAGACATTGAGAGAATAATTCAAAGAATTCAATTCCTGAAACACGTTAGTCCATATGCGCTCTAATGAGCTACCCCCTGTTTAATAAGCGCCCAAACCCCCTCCCTTCTGACTTAGTTAAACCAAGGAGGACTGATTACAATTTTAAGAGGCACTAACATGCTTTACTTACCTAAGGTTAACAGAACCAAGCATGGTCCTAAGTCATTTCGTTATTTTGCTGCTAAGACTTGGAACGCGCTACCGGATGCTATGCGCGCAAAGGTTGGCACAAGAACGTTTCTTCACGATATCCGTAGCCTAAAATTTTAAGTCTTTAGTTTTTTGATCTCTGTTATACTACACATGTATACAAACATATATTTAAATTTTCGATATCCTTTTTGTAATAATATTTTACTTAATGTACATAATTCTTAATGTAGGTTGTAATTTTTTAATGAATATTTTGTTGTGGGCTTCCTGGAAGGTAGCTTGTAGCTAAGTGTGGTGCCACATTAACAAAGAACTACTACTACTACTACTACTACTACTACTACTACTACTACTACTGCTACTACTACTGCTGCTGCTGCTGCTACTCTATGATTTACCCGCTTCCCTCTCTAACAAGCCCTTCTTTTTCTCTTCGCACGAAATAAATTTGGGAAAATAAAGTTTCAGCATGCAGTACTACTTGTATGCCTTGATTGGTTTCTATTCTAGGCTCGACAACAGAGAAAATGCTCGTCGTTCGCGATATTCCAAAAACTAAGTGACATTCTGAAGAAACGTTATTATTCGCAAGTTGGGCTGCAGCTGACTCGTCACCAGTCGTCTTCGTGCGCGGCACGGGGCGAAGTGGGAGCGCAGGATGAGATGGGTCCCTTGCTTCCCAATTTTGCGCCTTACCGCGTGTTGTATGAAGACGACTGGGAATGAGTCAGGGGCCGCGGGTAGTTCTGTGCTAAGTATCTCTTCCACTCCCTCCCTGTCATCAAACAAATACTTCTTCTGGAAGTTCTATCAATTAATTCTCCCACAACCCGTCAAGAGATTATCATGGCCTTTAGAGTGACCATTCTTTCTTCCAACTATTTATCTCATCAGCGCCTGGCTGGATGACCATGATTCTCCTATCGTAAAAAGAATAAGCCAGAGGATTCAAACTATCACGGGTCTTTCTCTAGATTCTGAACACTCGGAAGCATTACAGGTAAGAATTTGCATCACTGCTCCGACGAAAACTCTCTCTAACTTCATTTCACGGTCCTCTGAAGAAGAGAGAGAACTCTCACGGAGCTCTGGAAGCGAAGTTGATCTTCCTCGTAACCCAAGCGCGCTACGAAATGAAGAGTCAAGCAGTGGGAGACGTGTGTATTTGCAGAGACGTGTGTATTTTGACTTTTCTGACAGAGGCGGAAAAAAATAGCCGGAGGACTTGGGAAATTGGTGAAGCATGAACTTAAAATAGGAATGCATCATAAAGCTCAGAAACTGTTGAGTTTTCCTAAAGGGACAATTTTCTACCGAGGGTTGAAGTAATCTTGGATGAGAGCTGAATAATGAAATGCTACGTCAGTCGCAACCAATCAGATTCAAAATTAAAACCAATCGTCACTTTGATTTGCAAAATAGCGTTATATGAACTTTCAAATGTAGGCACATGCATGATTTTAATGACCCTATCGATGTTATTGTTTACAAGGTGGCAAACTATGGTATAGCAGGACATTATGATCCACACCACGATTTCCTCCAGGTTAGTTGTAAAAGCGGCTAGATTGCCTAAGTTTAGGCATTTACCGAGATAACTGGGTCGAGTGTACCAAGTCGAGGTTAAATAGGAACGGACAGTGTTCACGCAAAGATCAACAGAAAAAAGGAATGTAAAACTAAGCAACAAAAGTCAACCAACCATGGAAAAGTTTCTTTCATGCCCATGCCCCCCCTTCCCCCCTCCTTCAGATCCAAGTACAGTTGGTCAGATATTCTCAAGAGTTTTATTTAGTTAATGAAATATAGTTATTTTCTATTGCCATCAGAATCCAGACGGAAGCCTTCCTTCTAACGTTATTGACGGCGACAGGATAGCTACAGTACTGTTTTACGTATGTTAACTTTGAACGAAAAATTTAACTTGATAGGGGACCATGTTAATCGATGAAAGTTTTGCTGACCTTTGAGGGCGTGCTTACTATAACTTGGTTAGGAATGTCACCCCATTACTTCGTCTTAAACTTATTTAAGATTGTTGCAATATGAATAAGCGATCAACAGTCGCTCGCCCTCAGTCTGGTAGGCAGAAACATGTTCAAATAATTAAGCCTTACATCTCGCTTTGACCTGTTAATATCCTTCCAGGGGAATACTAGTTGTCATAGACTGTACAGGGAGATTGGCAAAAGAGGTATCTGTCACTAGAGGTTTATATCACTTTTCAATGAACTGGCATCTTTCTCATCTTTAGATGAGTGACGTGGAAGCCGGCGGTGCAACGGTGTTTTTAGACGCTGAAGAGATTGTCTATCCCCGAAAGGTTTGTAGTCATCAAAGCCCTGTCTATTCAACGGACGAAGAATAAAGACGAAGACGAAGACGAAGCTCTGAATGACATATCTTTTCAAAGAAACTATCTTCTATTCTGCTTCGTTCCGCTGCATTTGTTTAACTAGTCCAATTAAATCATTGTCCAGGATTAAAGAAGTATTTTTTTGTATGGAATTATACCTTTTCAGGGTGACGCAATATTTTGGTACAATCTTAAAAAAGATGGTAGCCCTGATGTTAAAACGATGCACGCTGCCTGCCCTGTGATCATCGGCTCAAAATGGGGTAAATATACACACCTTACTCGAGGGTTTAAAATATAATATGCGCGGATAGTTTGCAAGTTGAGTAGTAGGTCTGCTCGTATTATATGTTAAACCATAAAATAATGCATTATTCCACTACTGTTTCATTTTCTAGCATTTTGGCTCCTGGTTTAAGAAATACATCAAACAGCCTTACGAGATCCATAGGATTCACACATTTTTGTGTCAAGTCTGCTCTCCGAATAAAAATTAATGCGAGCCCAGAAAAATTGTACTTAACGAGATTACGGGAGCAATTTCAAATTTCCTCCCCAGAACTTGATTCAGTAATGGTCGTCTTTCTAAATCAAAATGTTAGTTACGAGCGGCCCGAGAGCACAGATTTCCGGTTTTGGCAGAAAAGCGAAACCGGAAATAAATCTACATGCGTAGGCTAATCGCGTAATACATCGTGGGTAATTTGATAAGGATGTTACTGTTAAAGCCTTCTTTAGAAGACGAGGCCATTGGCAACTGTTTTGAATGCTAATTAAGATCCTTTCTGTTTTGTGTATGTAGTTGCTAACAAGTGGATCAATGAAAGAGGCCAGGAGTTTCGCCGGCCATGCATACGAACCTGAAAATTTTACATTTTTTTGGTTTGTTATAGTTTCTTTTTGATTCAAAACACAATTTATTTCCATAGTTCTTGTGTTGTACTCATTGTCATTTTCTTTTGGTGATTTATTGTTAGTTTTAAGATCAGTCCCTTCTGTCAAATCATAATGAAAAAAAGCAACAACTTGCATTACAATTGACAACCTAATGTCACCTTGAAGAATGGTTGCAAAGAAAAAAAAAATTAAACTACAAACAAAAAAAATTGAGACAATTTGGTTTTATCAATTGAGTTGATTTACATTAGCCACTGTAGGGTTTCCACAGCTGACAACGTGTTAGCCCTTTCCTCATTCTCTCTGAACGGGTGATGCTTGCAACATCAGCCTCTGAAATTCTCTACAGGGCTTATTACATCTTATAATCTTAGTTGATAAAACCAAATTACCCTGCAATACCTCCCAAGGATGCAGCACCCTCTATTATCAGTTCCTTCGCACTGAGTTCCCTGCCCTGTTACCAACCTTAGTGCTTGCTTTCTTCATGTCATAATGCATATTTCTCCAAAGAGGGATCCTATAACAAAACTCTTAATTTGTTTTCCCTCTCAAGCCAGAGAGTGCTCTGTTCCTGGTCCAAAATTTATTAACCTCTGATGAGAGCCCATGCAAGTACAGTATACTACTCAACCATAGAAAATTATTTTTGACTTACATGGATGAAGCTCGATAAGAAATTCATCCTACAAATCACATACAGTCAAACACTGATGGTCCCTGCTACCTATTTGAAACTTGTGAAGAAACCTTTCTCCCCACGACACAGTATGTCAGTCCTCATGCAAAAATGTGTAAAAGGTTTTTAAATGCTCCTAGTATCAAAGAATAAAGCACCCATATGCAAACCAGATGTTTATTGCAGAAAACATTCTGCTATTCAATTTAACTGTGGCAATTTAAAAGCAAGAATTCTGTGGTCTCCAAAAAATACTACTCATTCACCTTCACTTTGACTGTAATGACAACAATATCAAAGAAACAAAAACTTGGACCTACAATAGCAGTACATCATTGGCTGCTATTGTAGATTTAAGCTTTCCTCTTAACAGTCTTTTGTTTTCTTTCATCCTACACTATGCAAGAATTGCTCAGCAAGTTACCTAATGCTAGTACTGCAATAACCATGGTTGGCTAGATTATAAGAAAGGAAACTGCTCTCTAAACTTTTTTATCATTGAGAAGCCAAGTGCCTGTGGTACAAGAGTAGGGAAAGAACACATCCAGTAAATGAAACTTGTTCGATTGCTCTCTTAGAATGGTCTGTTTTATTATTGTTTTTTTTTTTGGTTTTGTTTTCGTCTTTCTTTCAATGTCCATAGCCTGGATTGCAAAAAGCTGTAGATTTGTTTATTTGTTCTGCAATGCCTTGTGGCCAACAACCATTTCTTCTCCCATGGCTTTCAGAACAGTTACAAGCAGACCTTCACCATTGTCGAATTTGCTTCTTATCTCTTTCCCCAAATCAGTTTCTGGTAATTTCAAGTCCTCTCGTATTTCATTGTTATCGTCCATCAATTCCAAAAATCCATCGCTCTGAATATCATTCAGCTACATGGAAAGGGAAGCAAATAAATACATCTGTGGTACTTCACACATTTCAAAAGCTGTTAGACACTGAATAATTTACCCTTTCAAGTCCAAGATCTCATTAGTAAATATATAAATAAATAAATAAATAAATAAATAAATATATAAATATGTAAATTGATGCTCCCCCTTAGGAGCTTTTCAGCCACAATGTAAACTAAGTGTTTAAAAATCCCCACTGGCAGGAGGCAGACCAGTGGGCTATTAACAGAGCGCAGCCGAGGAGTTGAACTAGGGGCATCCAAGAACAAATCCAGTGAGTGGCAGGGTGGAGGATTTGAACCCAGGACACCAGATTACAAGTCCAGCACCCTAACCACTTGGCCACGCCACCTCCTAAATCTCCTTACTGTCTGCCATACAGTTCTTTTAATTCCTTTCCAGCCTCCCACACCCTTACAACTCCTTTACATTATCAGAGCAAAGTTCTACTTCAGCAAAAAAAAAAAGATTGGGGAACTCTCCTGCAGCCTGATTAAAAATTCTAGTTATCTAAGAAAAGAGAAACAAATAAACACCTGTTAAACCCCTGATTTTGGGCACTTGAAGGAAATTATATTGCCAGTACATGTAACCAATTACTGGTAGATATAAAATCCTGGTTACCAACAATATACTCAAGGCAGAGACTGCAACCCAAGATCCTGAAACTCCCACCAAAGTTTACACCCATGTGATATGGTTCTTGTAAGCTACACACCACCAGTACATGCCCCGATAGATATAGGAACAAAATTTACCTGGTAGTCACTACGACTGACATTTGGGACATTCATGTTGTGAGTCGAGGGACAGATATCCTCGTACTTCTTGGAAGTGAAGATATCGATGCCTACCAAGTGAACCTTCAAGAGAAAAACTTATTTTAGCCTTCACCTTTTCCATCTTAACATCATTAACCATATTCTCCATAATCCTCTCTGTACATTTCCTTTGTAACTCATAAGGAGAATTAACTTATCAATCGAAGCTTCTTGGGTTGGTGATCATTTACTTTATTTCTATTTATTTATTTATTTATTTATATTTGTTTTTATTTCTTTCTTTCTATGGTCTTAACCCTTGAACTCCCAGAGGTAATAAACATAAAACTTCTAACTGTAATATCTTTCTGTTATCCAGCAAAAAGGTAATGAGAATACTCAATCTTATCAGCTAGAAGTCATAATCTTGATCTAACACCAAACTCCTGTAACTAATTAACAAGGAAATGTGGAGCAGCAAAAGGAGATATTCAATCAGTTAAAGCAGTATTACTATATGAGGAAATTACATGCTGGTCACTCTTGGGGGTTAAACCAAGAAGAGCAACAAGCACCCAATTTCTCCTTCTTCATGACAGCAGGGAAAACTAACTGTGTTTCAATATTTCACATTGGCTTTGTAAGAAGATACAGTAGCAAAACTTTTGGACACACATTTGGCCAAATCCAAACCCTGGTCTACTGTCTACAGGCTGCTTCTTTCACCTCATTTTTAGTACTAATGAAAAATCCTAAAATTTTTGAAAGACTAATTAAGAAAATTGTTTAAAAGCAATTTCCACAATTTTGAGAGGAATCCAAAGCATAAATTACCAGCAACAGATTTGGATGTGTGCTGTAATTTCACATTCAAAATCTGCTCTATGTTTTGTATAAAAATAACAGTACCCCTGGAACATTTACTGAATGGTTCTAAGTTTTGCATGCAGTCAGAGGGTGTCCACAATAACCTGGCAGCCAACTTTTTCTCATTTGCTTTGCACTTTTGCACAGATATGGAGACCAGGTCCACTGAGACCATTTTAAAGCAGCAGAGCTTAAAAAATCTGGCCAATACAAATTCACGCTAAGGAAGTGTTCGTCATTTATCTTGTACAGCTTTACCGAGCCTTTGGCTTGATGCCTTTTATTTCTTTCAAGTAGTAAAATCTATATTGTGTCTATCTCAAATTAACTGCCGCCCAGTTAGCCCAATGGATAGTGCGCTGGACTGTTGTGCGGGAGGACGAGGGTTCAAGCCACAGCTGGACCAACACTCAAGGTCTTAAAATAATTGAGAAGAATTTGCTGCCTTTTTATAACATCAAGAAATGGTTAGATATTCTAGTCTTCTCGGATAGGGACGAATAAATGGAGGTCCCGTCTCCTGCAGGGTTAAGGGCAGGAGACGTTAATTTCCCACGCACGAGATTACTGTGTGATGGATGTCCTCCCCTGGGGTGGGATGG